GTGGGGGCTGAGAATGTGGTGCACATGGTGTGATTGACAGCCGGACTACATTCCTGCAGCAGAACGGACAGACTGTCAAAGTACTGTGCGGTGTCAACAAAATACACAAACCACAAAAATGTTTGTTTTCTAATTGGATTATAGTGAGAATATTTTCGAGTGAGAATATTTTCAGCTTTCAAAGCGAGAAGCCACACACAGCCTGCACGTTATTCTGCAGGGACGGGGCAACAACAAAGGGTCAAAAAGGGACAAGTGAGAGGGATCTGTCATATTGTTATTTCTGTGCTTCTCAAAGCGGTAACACAGCATCAGCTGAGTGGGTTATATTTATATAATCTATAAAAGGAATCTTTTAAACAAGGTTGCGACACACATTCTTATTCTCAGTGCAGTCAAGCGGGGGTCAGGTCAGGCGAGGAGTGTGTTGCACGAACATTGCTGGCAAAAGGGACTGTGCCCAAGAAGAGCCTGTGTTTGCAAACAGGCAGTGTTTAAGTGTGTGGGAAGTTTTATTTTAAGGCTCCAGTCTGGTCAATCTAAACAGACCGGACTTGAAAATTATAGATGGACAATTATAGAATTATGATATAATCACATAATCGCACGTTCCTAATTATAAAGATGCAGCTTTTTAAGACAAGTCATATGAGGCTGATTACCTGAAGGAGTTAGAGTACCGAGGTCTGCGTGCTGAGATGTAAGTGCTGCGGGGATTGCTGTGAACAAGTGGGTTTTAAGTGCTGCATCTGTCAGAGTCTCTGCACGGACTGTTCCTTCTGTCTCGCTGAGGGTTGTGGTTTCACCCACGGATTCATCCCTGCCTGCAGGAATACGTGCATGCTCTGGGGACTCATTCCCAGGATACTCTGTCAGGTTAGAAGATGCTGAGCTTCCAGGATGATTCAGGAAGACGGCCGGTGTGAAGACATTGGGCAGAGCACTGCTTTGACCTGTAATTTGATAAAGAGAACTCCTGTTAAAGAGACTTTGACTTTAGGACCGTTTTCCAGACTAGTGATGACTTTGTCACGTTTAGATTAACATAAAGGTATTTTAATTACTTATCAAGTGAGTTTTAAAATAGCAAAATAGTGTAAAAATATAACTTTCAATTTGAAGTTCATTATCAGTCCTGTCTCTTTCCCCTCACCTCCAAACAGTGAGGCTGGATCTGCTGGAGGTCTCTTCCTGTTTAAAGGGAGTTTTTCCTTCCCACTGTCACCAAATGCTTGCTCACTGGGGTCAGCTGACTGTTGGGATTTTTCTCTCTATAATTTTAGGGTCTTTACCTTACAATCTAAGGTGACCTGAGGTGACAGTTGACTGAATTGATTTGTTTGGGTTCCTAAAAAGGAAAGGGTGAAAACTTTTTGCTTTATATTTGCTTTTGCGTGTGTTCTCGAGGTAAACGACTCTAATTTGACATTTCATCGACTAACACATTGACGTCCCCTTCAATTTCAAGTTTTAATCTACTTTAGGTGCTATTTTGCATCATGACAGATTCATTATGGCGAATTACGAGTAAGCCAAGAGAGATGAGAGGAAACTCTAAAAATAAAAAAAACAAAACAAAAGGAAAGGAAAGGAAAGTTAACAAACATCGTTTAACGAAGATGAAATGCAACCAAGAACCTGCAGCAACATGATCTCCGTCATCGCCTCAATCACACCAATAAATAGTCGCGTGCGGACTCGATTACGAGCCCGACTCACATCAGCGGGATGTCAGAAGTGTTCGCATCAAACACAAAGACACACAGAGAAAGAGAGAGAGAGAGAATGGCAGCTTACCTCTTGTCCGCGTTGTGCCGGACAGCACAATCAACACGCAAAACACCAAATGAATTTCAGTTTTCATCTCAGCGGCGGCAGGCTTCCCCCTTTAGATTACACAGCAGCTCTCCTCTGTGGCTCTCTGGGGTTGTTTCCGTTACGCGATTTGACAGGGCACATCATGGGCTCTAAAAATATCCTGAGGGAGTCAGGCAGAAGAGAAGCAGGGGTGGGGCTGGATGCGGGCGGTGTTGGTGGGTGGCACCACAAAGAAATAGATTCTAATGAGTAAAACAAGCTTCCCCGATAACCACCGCAAACTCACGCGTGGCCTCTCGTCTCGGTGTTTGTCCTTTCGGAGCCAATCATCTCTACATGGAAGTGTCCACAACGCGTCACTTTGCAGTCGCTGTTGCTCTGCTGCACCAATCACACATCAGTGCGTCAGAGGCGCAGTTGCGTGCGTCAGGAGCGCCCGTTCGAAGCGCCGTGACACCGAAGTGAACGCGCTCTTTGACAAGTTTTACTGCGCTGTTTATCACTGTGAAAACTAGCCTGCAGTATCAAACAGCTGAATGTGTGTCAGTGTCTTGCTGTGGCTCACAGCAAGGTGGTTGGCTCAGCCACCTCTCAGTTCCCACTGAGGTCAGCGTGTCGTCACGGCTGAGCGCACTGCCCACCTGTGTGCCGCACGGACAGCTGAATGACCCGCTGCGTCCTCTCTCGGCGTTGTCTTGACACACTTTAGAAGACGCCGAATTTTCCTTTAATTTTTTTCCTTAAAAAATCAGGCTTTGAGCTGTAAAGGATATCCAGACGCAACAGTAAAAGAAACCTTCACCCTGTCCCAGATGGAGCCTCCAGGCAACCCGGGAGGCACCCCGGTGGAGCTGGAGTTAACGGTGGAGAATGTGGAGTCGGTAAGTTAGGATATTAGTCAAAACTCGTGCATTTAACTGGGAAGTTTGAGTTATGGAATGGAAACAGCAGCATGTTTTCCCAGGAAGAAAAAGAACTGCAGCACATTCTGCTGGTATAAATATGATTTCATACCAAATTAGTGAAACGATTTTTTTTATCATGTAAATAACTGTAGTTTGCTCATCATAGAGAGACTGGGCAAAGTGTAGCATTTGTAATATGATGCCAGTTAGAAGCACCTGCTGTACTAATAATAACTAACACATGTGCTTTGGATTAGTTGCTGTGACAACACATTTTTCAGTAAATTCAAACATTTGGCCATCCAGCATTATTAATGATTATTAGTGGTTGTTGTACATGTTGCCCTGCAAATTTAAAGCCAGTTTTATGTGCTAAAATATTCTCGGCATATCCCTTTGACTTCTTACATCGCTTACTTTGTTCTCTGCACTGGTATGTGTTTCTCCATCCAGGCTCTCTACCAGCTGTACTTTGATCCAGACATGGAGCATAAGAATGTAGCCCAGAAGTGGCTGACCCAGGCCCAGGCCTCTGCACAGGCTTGGCACTTCTGCTGGGCCCTGCTCAGCCCTGACAAGGTCTGTAGTTTTTCCCCTCTTTACCCCCACGCTTCACTTTTCTGTAACAAACATTAGGCACCATAACTTAATACAGCCTGGTTGAATGTGAAACTAAGAGCAGCCGTGTGTGAATGTGTCGCTTTGCAGATCCCAGAGGTTCAGTTCTTCGGTGCCAGCACCCTGCACACCAAGATCTCCCGTCACTGGAGTGACCTCGCTGCAGACCAGCACGAGAGCCTGAGGACGCAACTGCTCAGCCATATCTTGCAGTTCTCTTCTGGGCCTAAAATGGTGCTGACTCGTTTGTGTGTAGCACTGGCCTCTTTGGCTCTTAACGTAATTCCCCAGGCCTGGTCTCAGCCGGTGGCGGACATGGTGAGGGCTTTCCAACCGCACAAACCTGATCCTGAAGATGGCTCTGGAGCAAAGGCCTCTCAGGACCCCCACACACATTGTCTCACTCTGCTAGAGCTTCTCACCGTGCTTCCAGAGGAGTTCCAGAGCAGCCGCTTGGCTCAAGCTCGGCGAGGCCAGCTGAGGGAGGCTCTTGCCGGAGAGTGGGCAGTGGTGTGTCCTCTGCTGCGACAGCTCATGCAGAGCCAGGACTCATCGAGTCAGGTGAAAGAGAAGGTGCTCAAATGCTTGTCTAGCTGGGTGGCGCTAGATGTGCCTTTGGGGGAAATCCAGGAACTGCTCCATGACTGCTTCACCGCGTTGTCCGACCCAGAGCTGTTTGACGCAGCTGTGGAGACGGTAGTTAACGCCATCTCACAGCCCGACTGCCAAAGGTGAGAAGCACAGCTGGATGATTAGGTGATGATGAGTGACATGCAGCATATGGGTGGATGACTCCAAACATTTGTGTGCAGGTACATTAATGCTCTACTGAGCCTGATGCCTCTGGTGTTGGGCCTCTATGACCAACTGAAGACAGCAGCTCAGGATGGGGACATGGAAACCTCACATGGTATCTGTCGAATTGCAGTTGCTTTAGGGGAAACACACTCCAGGTACACAGAGTAGCACACACCTACACACACACTCTACCCTGTACCTGGGCTCCACCATTTGTCTTTTATGTCTGAAATGTTCTTTTATTTCTTACATTTCTTTCCCTGTGACAGAGTTCTGTTGGAACAGGTGGACCACTGGCAAGAATACCTAGCTCTGGTTAACATGATTCTCTTCTGCACGGGCATCCCTGGACACTACCCAGTTAATGAGACCACAAGTTCTCTTACTCTCACCTTCTGGTACACTCTGCAGGTATGGAGAGTGAAGTATTAACGTGTTGTCCATTAGGACAAAAGATTTATACTTCTTTTTTACAAAATCAGCTTGTTATCATTTTTAGGATGACATTTTGTCATTTGAGGAGGAGAAGCAGTCTGTTTACCTGCAGGTCTACAGGCCAGTTTACTTCCAACTGGTGGACGTGCTGCTTCATAAATCCCACTATCCCTCCCAGGAAGAGTACGCCTCCTGGTCCTCTGATGACAAAGAGCAGTTTCGTATTTACAGGTGGGTCTGGTGTTAATATTTTTTCTGTTTGATTGAAATTTGGAGGCTGACTTTAATAATCTACACTGATAATCTTTCTTCAACGCCCAAGACCAACTTTACAAATATGTTTTCCTGACTTTGTAGGGTCGACATCTCGGACACTTTGATGTACGTGTATGAAATGTTGGGGGCAGAGCTGCTCAGTAACCTCTATGAGAAGCTTGGCAGACTACTGATGGACCCCCAGCAGTCAGCAGTATGGCAGGTAATGCCCTGAATAACTCCTATTCAGCCGCTTAAAATGAAATTGTATTAACTGAATTTTCATACAATGAGCTTTTGATTTACTTGTAAAAACCACACAACCTTAAAAAAGTAAGTAAGCATTACTCAAGTGATTCAGGTGCTTCAGAAAGCCATTGAGATAAATGGCAAAGAGGTTGCATTCCTCTAAAAACATCACATACATACATATAATGCATGCGTATAATAAATAAAGGCAAAAATACAGTTAAGATATTCGTACTTTATTTTTCTCCTTCTAAAGCAGCTGAGACTGCTCATCTGAAAAGTTAATTTACACAAGTGGAGGCAGCAGTTTGAGCTTTTTGTATTTTTCCCTAGATTGTGATCTATCTTGTATACAAGGACCGAGGGGCAGAAAACAGGTCACAAAGCATCGCTTAGTTCCACTTGTGATTATATAAAACCATGTGTGCAGACACTTGTTTAGTTACATTTAAAATCTAAAGGCTTCTTATTCTGAAAGTTTGCAGATTTTTTGGGAGGGTCTTTTTCCTGTTGCATGCAACCCATCGGTCTTTGAAAGATGAATGACTTTGTCATGGCTTTAAAGTAGTCCAGGTGTAAGACATTAACCACCCAAACAAGAGGCAAAGTAATTGAAGTCACTCATAAAAAGAGTAAACTATTATTTTCACAGTGCAATGAACATCTACTTAATAAAAAAAATGCATAAATAATAAAAGCATAAATTCTTTAATTACATAAATGAGTTACTCATTTGTGTAAGTCAGGAAAGCTACTGGAATTTACAGAGCAGTAATAAACCAGCTTGTCCCAGAGCTGTGCAGGAGAACTGATCAAATCAGCTCAGCTAAACAGCTGCTTCTGTTTTTCCAGCTTCTCACCCTACTCATGAGATTTTATATATTATATATATATAAATTCCTC